TGTATCAAGTCTGTCGACAGTACAGTAAGTGTCGTCGAACATTGGCCATTTTGGCTAGGTACATATACATGTAAAATAGCCCTCACAGTTACTATCTTTAACCCTAAACCTACATAATAACACAAATTACTACTTGTAGTAAAATGTAGTAATCAGTGCTGCTGCTTGTAAGAGGACATGACTGCATTGTTCTTTGAAGCTAGAAGTAGTAATCTGTAGCACTAGGTCCTTCAGGCTCAGACTATTACTTAGTATTTTGTAGTACTGAGTAGTGTAAGCCAAACAATAGGCTTGGCGGTTAGGGTTAAAATAAGGTTGTTGAACATTACGTTACTTGACCCCTAATCTTCTCAACGGCTGTTCCAACTTCCATGTCAAGACATATCGGGGTTCATTACCATAAGCACCCTGTTCCTGTGACAAGGAAACAAAGTCCACTTAGCCAAACTAATATTTTGACCTTAAGGAACCATAACTCAATCCTAATAGGCCTAGTTTAGGTAAAATTTTACTTAAGCAAGAAAATTTCAAATTCCTAACCCGANTGAGGGCAAACTTTCCATTCTGGTATTTCTTGATCTATATGAAAGTGCTGCTTTTGACATGTTTGATACAATTGATCACGATATTTTGCTTCATCAATTAAGGACGCATGTACATGTAGGAGTTTCACGAAATACCTTCAATTGGTTTTCCTCTTACCTTAGAGACCGTTTACAAAGAGTTCAGACACTCTGTCTTTATCGCCTGATGGTCGGAGTGGATCGGATGTCGGAACCATGAGTGACACAGAACACTTACATGTACATACATGTAAGTATGGCGTCCCCCAGCATGCCCAGGGCTCCGTACTCGGACCACTTTTATTCAATGTGTATACTACATGTTGCCATTAGGGGATGTTATAGGCATCATGGATTCAGTTGTCATTTTTATGCCAATTATATTTGTCAGCACATTCAAGTGCCAGTAACATACAGCAACAAGTGTCAGTTTTGGAAAAATGCTGTGACGACATCAGATGTTGGATGGCGATTAATTGTTGGACAAGGTTACATGTACATGTCAATGGGAACAACAGAAAGTAAGGGCTCACTGCCGAGTTTGAGCCCTTATCAAGGCGCACACTTTTGATGCGTGCACCTTTTCAAATTCATACATTGTAATTCTTCACTGCAATGTTATCGGACCTCCCAAGCTTTTATTCTCCGAAAATCTTACATGTACATATACATGTACATGTACTAGTACATGTGCACTGTACAATTGGCAGTTGATGTACACGTGCAATGCTGGACTCAAAAATTGCCCTCGCAAGCCATGTGCCCACCGGGTACCTATGGAAAACTGGCTGAATTCTAGATACACACAGCTACCCGCTCCGATCAAGTGGAACAAAAGAGGGCATTTTTTTTGGTAGTCACTGCATAGGCCCGCGTTTATAATGGAGAGTACAATGTACAGGTACTGGGTATGTATATATTTTCAAATGGTGGCACCTTCCAAAAAGAGCTTCCACACATCTTCTATCCGACAGATCTGTCCCCCCCTCCTTCACATCCAAACATTAAGAGGCGATTTACAGTCCCAGTTAGGCTTACTCAGACTAACAACATTAGGCATACATGTATCCCACCATGCCTGCCGATTGTAATTCCAGACATGGGGCCTTTATGACATGTGGGCGAAATATCAGCTAGGGCCTACATGTACAGTACAGTACATGGATGTAGGCTACCAGCTGACCTAATGCGTGTGTACATGTACCTTAACGACCTCCATTCGGTCAAATGTGTCAAATACTGAAACAGTGTCAGTGTTGGCTAAAATTTGCGCAGTGGCAGGGTGATCTTATGTCCTCAATGTCAGTTGATACATACCTTCATCATGTTCATGATGTGTATAAAGTCTGTCGACAGTACATCAAGTGTTGTCCAACATGGGCAATTTTGGCTAGGTACACGTACATGTACATGTACAATAGCCCGCACAGTCACTGTCTTTAACCCTAACCCTACATAATACTACAAATTACTACTTGTAGTAAAATGTAGCACCATTACCATTAGCACCCTGTGCCTTTAATAAGGAAACAAAGTCCACTTTCCCAAACTAACATTTTGACCTTAAGGAACCATTACTCAATCCTAATAGGCCTACCGGTAATTTAACTTAAATTTAAGCAAGAACATTTCAAATTCCTAACACGAGTTTGGCAAAAGACAACCACTCAGTCGAATCACAGCCATTTTGTTTTTCATCTGGTTACCCGACTCAGGCTTTTTGGATTCATCAAAACATATGTCTGTCCAGGTCAAGGAACCAGACTACATTCGCTAATTTGTCGTTCACAGCTCTTTGCGGTACGCTACTGTTTTATACAAAAATTTCCCTCAAAAACCAAAAGCCCTGTTCTCTTTTCTTTCTGATATGAAAGAAGACATCACCAACAACTTGTTTAGATAAATCATTTCAAAAGAGTAGATTCTGTTCCCTTATACATGTAATAGGAACAGGGTGCTAAAAGTAATGAACCCCGTCATATCTAATACACAGACTGAGCGAAATACGTGTACATGTACATGTACCAATGGGCTCTTCCAAAACTTGGACAGCAGTTGTAATATGTCTTGACATGGAACAGCCGTCGAGATGATTAGGGGTCAAGTAACGTAATGTTCAACGACCTTATTTTAAAGATAGCGACTGTGAGGGTGAGCCCCTGATATTGAATGGGTGAAGGCAAAAAGACTGGAAAATACATGTACAGTACCAGAAAAACGTGAGTGAAACCACTCAATAAACGGCACGAAGAAAGCAGAGAGACTAAGGATAATTTCTGTGTTCAAGAAAAATTGCGCCTACGATTATAAGAGGGCGCGCCAAACTTTTTCACTACGCCGACACCCAATTGTGTATACGTGTGGCTAAGGATAGAGCGGGAGTGAGAGTACACGCCACAATAGTGGGGCTAATGTACATGTAGACCTGTAAACAGGGCCCGATGAATACTCCTCCGTCGTATACTGGGCCCTGTCACGATTCACAGGGATTTCTATTGAAAAAGTTATCCAGGGGAATACATGTAACTAAATATCCGCTTCATTTTAGGAGCTGAAATTGCACTGGTATGTTCACTACTTACAGTGTAAACCATCCGCTAGGTTGTTTATTGTAGAAAACTCGCCTTTCCTTCGTCTGAGGAACAAAATGTTGCCTTTTTTTTTGCAGTTTTCCTACTCCGGACGAAGTTTGCCCCACTTGCACAAAAGCGACGGCTGTTTCGTCATTTTTGTGTCACGTTACAGAGAGCGAGCCGCACTACCAATGATTTGCTGCAAACAGTGTGTGACTGGACAGGGAAACAGCCAAGGGTGTTGCGTATTAGCAGTGACACAAAACAGCCATGATTTGAATACTGTACAGTGTACTTAGATCGACCTGTACTCTCGCAGATCTGAACGAGATCCGTAGGTGCTGAAGTCTGGGTGCAAACTAGCCAGGCTCTTGTACAGGGTACCATAACTTAACCATACAAGGGAGTCTGTGTAATGTACCGGTACAAATCAGGTGAAAATTCATATGGAATGGGAAAATGGCAAAAAAGGCAACATTTTTTCTTAAATTAGCAACTTAGTGCATTTTAACAACGTAAAGTAGTGAACATACCTGTACTGGTGCAATTCCAGCTCATAAAATGAAGCCCTGTTAAGCGGATGTTATATGCCCCCGGATAAAGTTTTCCAAAAGAAATCCTACTATTATTATTAATCCAGGAGGCCCAGTATATGACAGAGGAGTATTCGTTGGGCCATATTTATGGGTCTACCTAGTCAAGATCCCTAGCGGATGTTTCAGGAGGAAAGTAACCAAGTAAGTACATATTCATGTACTAAGTTAGCATGGTTAGCCTAGATCAAGACAGCATGATACATGTTTGCACGTGTTGCATTCATGACATTGCCACGATGATTTGCAGGGGGGCTAACCTTCAAAATTTCACGAACAGCACACATTTACCAATCCCGTATTGATCGTTTTACGTCTGGATTTATTTAATAGCTTACCTTTGCTTTGAAGACATGACAGACATAACTGACAGAGAACGTTTCACGCCAAACTTGTCCAGTTTCCCGTTTGCCGCGGCGACATAAGTTTTACCAAAAACGCCCCCTGTTTACAAAAATTAACACTGAAATATTTAGCGCCCTCTGTCGACAAAAAGAAAGCGCCCTCTCTTGACTCAATATCTAGCGCCCTCTATCGAAAAAATGATAGCGCCCTCTCTTGATTCAATATCTAGCGCCCTCTATCGGAAAAAATGATAGCGCCCTCTATTGATTCATAACTTATAGCCCTCTATGGCTGAGTTCGGGCACTAGCATGTTCTCATTTGTTCAAGAACAGTTCGATTTCTTGTTATTGGGTTGGCTGCTCGAACGCCAGAAACGTACGGCTGGTTATCACTGATAGTTATGAGAAGCAATTAACATGTAACACGGCGGCGTTCGTGTAGATGTACGTTATTTGAGAGTTTAAATAACTGAGCTGAATTATTTTCTATTTAAACAGGAACATTCATTTCTGTGTTAAATTGTGCAAAACTTCTTATTGTCACCGGCTTTGTAAGCCATCTGTACCTTTTTACAGCTGTTCGAAAATCAAAACCTCACAAGTTTTTCTGTGTGTTCCTGTAAACCCTGACGAGGAGGTGGTGTGCGATCCTGTTCCGGGATCACCGTTCTTGAGTTCTGTTCCCAACGTTTGACCGCGAGAACAAGAAATCGACCACAAGGTTAACTAGCCTAATAGAGGGCGCTATTGAATTTGCTCCTTCACTATATTGCATCCATAGAGGGCGCCATTCATTTTGTCAATAGAGGGCGCTAAATATTGGATAATAAAGGCGCTGTAATTTTTTCAATAGAGGGCGCTAAATATTTCTGCGTTATTTTTTGTCAATAGAGGGCGTTATTATTAAAAAAATTCGCCATGGCGCCAGGGGAAAACTGGACGAGCTTAACGCTTGGCCACGTTGGCCACGTTGGCGATAAACGTTCTTTGTCAGTTGTGTCTGTCATGCCTTCAAAGCAAAGGTAGGCTATTGAATAAGCCCAGACGTGAAAGGATTTACACGGGATATGTGAATTTGTGCTGTCATAAAATTTGAAGGTTAGCCTCCCTGCAAATCATCGTGGTCATGGTGGTAATGACGTCATGAATGCAAACTCACACGGACTGTCACTCCCAGTCCATCCTCGGATTGACAGTCTGTGCCACACTAGTCTGCTAGTGGGGTTAGAATGCAAACATTCTTTCACCAACATGTGCATACAGTAAATGTATGTAGGCTAAATCTACATCATGTACCTAGCCAAAATGGCCAATGTTGGACGACACTTAATGTACTGTCGACAGACTTTATACACTTGAACATGATGAAGGTATGTATCAACTGACATTGATAATGTTATCTTGCCACACTGCGCAAATTTTAGCCAACACTGACACTGTTTGACACTTTTACCGAATGGCTCTGAATGGAGGTCATTCAGGTACACACGCATTAGGTCAGATGGTAGCCTACATCCATGTACATGTAGGCCCTAGCTGATATTTTGCCCACATGTCATGAAGGCCCCATGTCTGGAATTGCATGTACATTTGGTAGGCATGGTAGGATACATGTATGCCTAATGTTGTTATTCTGAGTAACTGGGACCTTTTAAATCGCCTTTAATATTTGGATGTGAAGGGGGGAGCAGATATGTCAGAAATTACATGTGGAAGCTCTTTATGGAAGGTTTCAGCATTTGAAAATTCGTACATGTACAACTGTACATGATGCACATGCGGGTAAATAAAGTCAGAGACTTGATTGGGCAAATATTGTGACACCTGTGGTACGGAACAAAAATCACCGCTGGTAGATGCTGTGCCAAATCCGCCTCCAGGTGGCAAAAGAAAGACAGATGGTTGTAAGTTTTCCAAGTGAGTTCTAAGACGCATTCTGTGTTTACACAAAGACCATACTTGTACATTGGGGTATAAATTCATTACGCGTACTCTGCCTGCTCCGCATCGTACGCGCCATTGATCTCCATTATAGACGTGCGCCTATGCAGTGAGTACCAAAAATCATGCCCTCTTTTGTTCCGCTTGAACAGAGCGGGTAGCTGTGTGTATCTAGAATTCAGCCAGTTTTCCATAGGTACCCGGTGGGCCCGTACATGGCTTGCGATGTCAATTTTTGAGTCCAGCATTACGTGTACATGTACATCAATTGCCAATTGTACAGTGTACATGTACATGCACATACATTTGTACGTGTACTAGTATGTACATGTAAGATTTTTGGAGAATGAAAGCTTGGAAGTTCCGATAACATTGCGGTGAAGAATTATGAATTTGAAAAGATGGACGCATCAAAAGTGTGCACCTTGATGAGGGCTCAAACTTAGCATTGAACCGTTACTTTTCTGTTGTTCCCATTGACATGTACATGTAGCCTTGTCCAAGGTGGTCTCAATGCTGTTTTAACAAGGGGAGACCATCGGGCCTCACACTCGCGATCTACGGCAAGTGAGCCACCATCACCAGTTCACAGCCCAACAACCCCCATACAATTCACACACTATGGCCAACCCACAGATCAAGCTGTGAGGACAGACACAACTTACATGTAGTGGTACATGTACACTTGTACTGTACAGTGTACATGTACCTATACATGTACATGTATGCATTTATGTATATGTCATTTGTGACTTGCTTGCCACAAAAATGTGTATTATGGGACATTTTTTCAATGAGTTACATACACTTTTGAATTGGTTACATCATAAGCTTTAATTTGGTGAAGGTTTGGACCCTGTGGCATTTTGCAATCTGGAGATACTGGTACATACATGTATGTATATTGATTTTTGCATTTTTATAATCATATCATACACGTTAACAGAATTACTTTCAGAGATAAAGCTCTTTATACACCGGAAGTGGAAAAGAAATCAGCCAAGAACAAAGTGTCTTGATACTCATAGCAACAGTTACGTTTCTTGTATGAATTGTGCAAGTACTGATATAGAAGCCAAGAAACCAAGAAGTAAAAAAGCACCCTGTCCACATAAAAAGCCCTTAGTGTGAAAAAGCACAGTGTCCCAGGTTAATACCCATTTTTGCAGAGCAGGTCACATTTGTCCGGGCATGTGCATGTACTCATACAGTACGTGTATGAATACATGTATGTACGTGTAGGGAATATCTCTGCACAACACATGCAGACGGCATGCGCAGTACACATTGTACAGAAATAGTGCACAGGCTAGACCAGTGTGAATGGTTGGGTCCACAGCATGTGTACTTGTACGCAGTAGGGCAGATTTACCTAAGGCCTTGGTCAAGGCTATCCCTAATCATTATCATGATCCTTATAGGAGCCTTCGTTCACATCAGTTGAAGGGCACTCAATGCAGTGACAATTCAATAAAAGCTGAAGAGATGCATTGTTGGTTTTTTTAATTGTAGGATGAGATCAGAGCGAGAGGAAGATGATGGAGCGAGGAGTGGCCGATGTGTGGACAGCATCACCGGACAGAGCAGAATGTGAGTAAGTTCCTTCCCAGTAGCAGGTTATTCACTGACCAGATGGATTGAGTAACTCAACTTTAGTCCTGCAAGTTTACTTATTTTCCCATACATGTACATGTACACTGGTACTCTTATCTTAGCAATAAAGAATAATATTAATTGACATTTATAAAGCGCCCAATCCATTAATTAACCCTAACCCCCTAGGGTGTATGTAAAATTGTATAAAAATTGAAGGATTTGGGAGTGATGGGGTTAAGCTGCTCCCAGGTGCTGTATATCAAAATATAAAGAAATAAATAAAATCCACCGTAATTTTGTGAAAAACTTACATGTACCTCACTGAGAATTCAATGAAGTAACACGAAAATTGGTTTAAGATTGCCTTTATTTGTATCGGCACGTCGTCCACCGTATCCATTCCAGAGTACAGTCATAGGAGCACATTTACAATATTTTTTGTAACGCACGCACCAAACAAGACAACTGTAATGACAGCGCCCTCTTTTTGGTGCTGACAGGAAAGTTTTATGTACATGTATAAATTGATTTCCCCTGACTACAGTTAAAATCAGTACTGAGAAACTATAAATGCTTGTTTACAAAAGGTGCGTCTTCAGCCCGGTCTTAAAACTCTCCATACTCCTAGACTCTCTTAAGATGAACTTCAAGCTGGTCCCAGAAATGGGGA